TGGCGAGCAATACCTCGTATCCGACAAATGCAAGAGCAAAAAAAATTTGTTTTCTTCAAAACTTTTGAATTAGATTAGTTCAAACGGCACTTACTAAATATAGTAATATTATATATACTATTAACTGTGTAGAGTAGGCTCTTATTGAGATAGGGTAACTAAGTTAAATTTTTTCCGTCCCAGCTCACGTTGGGGTTTCGGTACTATGCTTTGGCAGTGGAATGCCTACATTTAGTATGTTGTGATTTCGGTAAGCCAGTTAACCAATTTACGCAGATACATTGTAAGCGATGACGAGCGAATTCGCGCGAAACCGCAGCCGCATACGTAATATTACATTTTAGGTATACGCGGTATTCCACGCCAAACGTCACTATTTACTTCTTCAAACGTATATTAATAGTACAGAACTGGTAATGTAATCATTATGCGCAAAATAAGTTAAATCAGCATTTACTCATTATTTCACTCAAAAACTTTTATTAAATATGAGGCCATGAGAGCCAGGCAGGCGATCTAAAATTTTTTTTTGGTAATATTAGATAGATTAATAGTATTTACGGTCTTCTATTGAAAAGTTAACTTCACCTACAGTTGTCCACAAAATAATAGGAGTGCGATATTTTGACCAGTTTTGGCTATTTGTCTTTTGTTTATTTAATGTTTATTACTTTTTTAAAAAAGCCTAGCTGGCTATACAACAAACACCATATAAATTCAGATTTTAGACTATGTATAAAAATTATAAAAATTTTGCAATTTTTCACCCAAATTTCAAACTTTTTAATCAGAATCTTTAGAAAAAATTCTGGTATGCAGTTTTGTAGCACATTCAATTCTAGTCTGAAGAAGTGCAAGTTTCAAGCGGCTAAAAAATTCCGTTGATTTTTGGCAATTTTTTTGCTGGCAGTGTCCTCCATATAAAAGAAAATTGTCGACATACTTTGTATGGAAAAAACGTGAAACATCTTTAACCAAAAAAATTCTCAAAAATCAACGGAATTTTTTAGCCACTTGAAACTTGCACTTCTTCAGACTAGAATTGAATGTGCTACAAAACTGCATACCAGAATTTTTTCTAAAGATTCTGATTAAAAAGTGTGAAATTTGGGTGAAAAATTGCTTTCTTGAATGGTTTGGCTTTTGGCATGGATGCGTTGCAGGCTTTGACAATCGTTGTCATAGTTTTTTGGCATCAATGTTATGGTCTGATAGGTTAGTTTTGCAGATGTTGCAGATTAACCTTTGTGAGTTTAACTTGGAAGTCATCCACTTCCTAGTACTTTTATTTCCTACGGAGCCTGGCCAATTTGCTTTCTCTATGTCGAAACGTATGTATTTGTGGTCGCTGGTGGTAAATTCTTCGAGTTATTAATCTTTCGGAGACCAGAGTAATGTCCGGGATGGCCCCACGCAGCCTTTTCTTCTAAATGTGGGAGTATTTCCCCTGTTTGCTAGAACCAGTCCCTGCCGGGCTGCCATATTTAGGATTCGTGTTCCCCTGGAACTTGTTGATGTCGTTCCCCATTCTACCACTGTCGTGTTAAAGTCGCCTGCTGTTACAATGTTTCCGCCAATCTGTAGGGCTTTATCTTTCAGAGGTCTAATTTTCTTTGAAAAATTTCAATCTGGTCATTTGGTGTTAGATATCAACTCATGAGTGTGTTGGTTATTTTTTATCCACACAAAGCATTAAAACCAGGTACCGTAAATAGAAGTTATTTTTTTCCAACGGTTAAACTAGGCCAGATATTTTTTATTTTTTTAAACAGAAATAACGATCGAAGGCTACCAAGGGTTGTTCTATGGTAATTAAAAAACATTTTTTATTTAAATATTTTTCAATAGCTGGCTTTTTGCTGGCTTTCCCCGTTTAAATATTTCAAATATTTCAGTTTTGAAGCTATTTTAGTCCTGTTTNCTAATTAAAAAACATTTTTTATTTAAATATTTTTCAATAGCTGGCTTTTTGCTGGCTTTCCTCGTTTAAATATTTCAAATATTTCAGTTTTGAAGCTATTTTAGTCCTGTTTCAGTTGATACCAAACTTGTTTCATTTGGATAAGCGGTGTGTTTATTATTAGGAAAGGACTTTTATTTTCGACTTAAAAATATCTGGCCAAGTTTAGCTGTTGAAAAAAGGTAACTGTTATTTACGGTCCCTGATAAAAACACTGTGGTTGCTTATGTTTGGTAAGCACAGAGCCGCTGTGCGGGTCCTGTCCTCGAGCCAGGTTCTATCGTTTCGCTGTTTGTATTGTTCGCTTGTAAGCACCACATCTATAATTTTTTCCACCGCGATGTGACTCAATATTTCATCTGCAGTTATACTTCGGGGCATGTTGGCTTGCAAAATTCCTGTCATTTGGCACAGTTTTTTCTGTATGGCCAACTGCTTTTTCTTCGGCTTTTAGAAAAAGGCAGCACCTCGGTTTATTTCGGCATTCTTTTATCCTATTGTTTGCTTCACCGCAGCGAATACATAAGCTTTTCTGTCTTCGCCATAACAGTTGCACTGCATATGGCCGAATCGAAGCATCTGAAGCATCGTTTTATGCCTTTAGCCGCGCGGATGCGTGTTTTAATCCACCCTGCCTTAACTGATCCTGCTTTTAGGAGGGTCGCAGCGTCTTCTGCTGGTAATTTGACAAATGTGCGCATTTGTTCTCGGCTATTTGGCGTCGTAAGGGTAACGCTCATAGTTCCGGCGTCTGGAGAAATTTTCTTTAGTACTCCTTGGACGTCTTGGGTTGTAAACGCGTCTAAGTCTCGCAACTTCTCTTTGAGTCCTTCCTCCTCTGCTGAGTCGCAAAACTGGTCTCTGACTTTGGCACCTTTTTCTAGCTGAAGTAGGATAGCGCCCGTCTTTGTTTTCCGGATTTTACGCGCGCCTCCTTCATCGTCCGGGTTCACTTTGCTACGTTTTTGGCACGTCAGCATTGCTGTATCCTTCTGCTGGTTTAATCATTATCGCGTCTGGTTTGGGAGGTCGGACTACGAGCTTCTTCTTGCTTTTGTCATTATCTCTTGTTGGTCCGCGATTTTGAACCGATAGGTTANGTTGCTGTATCCTTCTGCTTTTGTCATTATCTCTTGTTGGTCCGCGATTTTGAACCGATAGGTTATCTGGTCGATTCTTTTTAGGCTTAACGTCCTTCCTTTTGGATACCCTTCCTTAGCTCGTTTGCAATTTTCTGCGTCAGCTGGACTTGAAGCTGCCATTTCGTGGACCGGTACAGTTGGCGTATCTACAATCTTCAGATACATAATTTGCCGTATTTCCTGTTCTGCTCTTTGCCAGTTCCTTCGGCTTGCAGATATTATGTCAAAGAGATCGTCCATTTCAGAGATCCCATTTTTATACCAATTTGTCTGACTAGCCAAGGCCGTCTTCATTGGTTGAAGGCACTTAAGACATTTGTACAAAGCTTTTTCTTCTTCCAAACGCATTTTCCTGATAAAATCTTGGCGCGGTAAACCTGATTTCCTCGTGGTAGACTTCTGTATTGTAGCACAGTTTACATTTGCGCTCATGGTGGGTGTTTCGGTCCGCGCTGGTGTGTAATTGGAGTCGAGTTGACAGCAGGTCCTGAAGCTATAATTTTTGAAATGCTAGGTCCAACCTGCTCTTTTTCAGCTGGGAGAGCGAGTGTGCCCTCGGAGTCGCACCTAGCATTGTTGCAGACGCTGACCAGTGCACCGAAGTGAAAAATAAAGCGTAACATTTGCAGCCGTACCTACTGATGTACAGACGCATGTGCTGCCGGGCACTTAAACCCCATATACCAGNTTGCCGTATTTCCTGTTCTGCTCTTTGCCAGTTCCTTCGGCTTGCAGATATTATGTCAAAGAGATCGTCCATTTCAGAGATCCCATTTTTATACCAATTTGTCTGACTAGCCAAGGCCGTCTTCATTGGTTGAAGGCACTTAAGACATTTGTACAAAGCTTTTTCTTCTTCCAAACGCATTTTCCTGATAAAATCTTGGCGCGGTAAACCTGATTTCCTCGTGGTAGACTTCTGTATTGTATCACAGTTTACATTTGCGCTCATGGTGGGTGTTTCGGTCCGCGCTGGTGCGTAATTGGAGTCGAGTTGACAGCAGGTCCTGAAGCTATAATTTTTGAAATGCTAGGTCCAACCTGCTCTTTTTCAGCTGGGAGAGCTAGTGTGCCCTCGGAGTCGCACCTAGCATTGTTGCAGACGCTGACCAGTGCACCGAAGTGAAAAATAAAGCGTAACATTTGCAGCCGTACCTACTGATGTACAGACGCATGTGCTGCCGGGCACTTAAACCCCATATACCAGAGTGGCCCCACCAGTATTTATCTGCTGTTGGGAAATCTCTCGTCGCGTGTTGCCTCCCTCTCTTGGGTAAGTGTTCTCTCGGTGCAAACCCCGATGGGGCTGGGACGCTTACTTAAGAGCGGCATCGACTCGCCTTGACGCTTAAGTTTGCAGGGCTTNTTTGGCCCCACCAGTATTTATCTGCGGTTGGGAAATCTCTCGTCGCGTGTTGCCTCCCTCTCTTGGGTAAGTGTTCTCTCGGTGCAAACCCCGATGGGGCTGGGGACGATTACTTAAGAGCGGCATCGACTCGCCTTGACGCTTAAGTTTGCAGGGCTTTTGTGGCCCTTTATGCCACGCCCTCCACTCTTACCGCTCTTAGTCAGGGGCTGCTTATTGGTTATTTGCAGCTAGCCTAAATTTAGGCCGTCCACAGCCCGCCAGCTGTGGCTCCAGATGGCCTGAGCTCAGCCGTAGAGCTATAGAGCTGGAAAGATAAATGTTAATAATAAATTAAATGTCTTCATATGCATTGCCACAACTTGTAATAAGTATTATGTATGTTATATCGTCCCATTAATTGAACTCCTCGTTCAGCAGTAACATTCACGACATGTAAACTTGTCAGAAACAGCACCATCGTGGTATAAAAGAGACCTAGAAAAAACGGCATAATTTTTTATTAAGTATGTATTAGATTTTCAGGTACCACAGAAAAAAGAAATATCGCACGTTTAATAATAAAGAGAAGGTAACCCAAAATTTACGTTTATGGAGATTTCATTATGCTTATAATAAGCTTGATAAGTAGAATATGTTCAGTTTAATAGATAACCATACTTCCCAAATATGGCGAATATATGTGTTTTTCCATCTGTCTTTTTGTATACCAACTGTATGAATTGATAAAACTTTGAGTTTTCCCACAAAATTGAAATTTTGAAATACTTCTTTTATATTATTAAATGCGATATATCGCCTAAAAATGAAACACCCTAATATACATACATACATATATACATACATACATATATACATACATATGTATGCATATGTTACATATTCAGATCATTTCTTCATCTCGTGTATGCCGTGATTTGAACGACGTGAAGGCAGACGAATTAATGTTAGCCGGGAACCCGGTAACGAAATCTAGCAACTATCCTGAGTGCATGCGACCTGTTCTTAAAAATTTCAAGGCCATTGTAAGGAAATATAATTAAATTTACTGTAGTAATTTCTTTAACTGTTTATTTTTTTATTGAAGGATGGAATACCTGCTGAGAATTTATCAAAAGACTATACACCGATGGACTACGAAGTTGACATTGACAAAGATGGCTACCGCGTTGATTTTAGTAATAAAGAAGATATGATAAAGTTTCTACATAGTAGTGATTGGCATGCTATCATGGTAATGAGCGTTTGGTAAATTATAAATAACACTCACCCCCATGCTGAAATCCAAATTTTCGTAGTTACGAATTCAGAGCTCCGCTCCGCAATATATAAAAATGGTATGCAGTAATTCGGCCGTAACTATTTACCGCGTTGCCAACCAAAAACAAGAAATTCGAATTTCTCATAGAGCTATTTTGACAGAACTAAAAAATTTTATGATTGCAGGTGAAGAGTGAAATCTGAAACCAGTGATTATTAGCCATTTGTAAAGCGTTCCCATGACAGTCGAGTCTACGTAACCGGAACGACCCAGATTTATATCTGGCCAAGAACTGTCACTCTAGCAACACTCCCCAAAAAACTTTTTGACAAAACTTCGAAATTACGATACGACAACGCGGATTTGAGCATACCTATTATACGATTCTTAGCGAAGTCAAATGTACAGTTTCAGCATGGGGGTTATAAAACCACACAAAATGTACTTAATATACTTTTTCGTGGTTCCTACCATGATAAAAACATTACAAGGTAAAATCATTGAGAGGCAGTCTGACGTTTGCCAACAATATAATTTTAAAATTCGAGCTCAGGCTCACACACACATTCTCATTTTTAATCTCAAACAACAACAATTGTGAACAATTTCATTTTTTTTTTTTATTTTATATGATTTTAAAATGTTTGCAAACGTCAGAAAAAAATCATGGCCGACGAATTGAGAGAATGGTTTTACCTTCTAATGTTTTTATCATGGTTCCTACGTTATTTACGTATATCTCGTAATGTTAACAAAAGGTTAATACTCAAAATTTTCAAATGACCTGCAAAATCTGAACTTTTAACCAAAAACCCCTTTTTCATAAGTTGAAACATTCCATATTAAATCGATGGTGGTAGCTGATCTGATTATTTTGGCTCAAAATGTATTTGCATGTGAATCTTTAAAAAAGGTGATTGAAAACCAGACTTTGTAACGTTTGCTTAACCCAGGAACATAAACGCTATTATGGGAACATAAACGCTGAGAAGGATGTTTTGTTGCTTCTGGAATGAAACAAGTTTACAAATAATGAAAGTCGCACTAAGTTAAATTTTTTTTATTAAATTTTTTTTATTTAAATTTGTATTTATATTTCACATCGCCTACTATAATTTTTATAAAAGTAGATTATTCTTTTGACATTTTAAATACCAGAAGCAACCGCTTTAACGTCGTCCGCTGTAATTCTGGGTAGAGCTTTACTGCCATACCTAAACAAAAGCGTCAGCGTTGTCTGGATGTCAAAAAACTCTCATGCCTCTACACTTTGTATGAACCATACCAAAACAACGCGGAGGCAACGTTGGGCGGTTGGAAAAGGCGATTTTGACAGGGCGTTTGGTATTAAAGTTGGCTGCAGAAAACGGCGAAACTGTCATTTTCGTATTACACACAAAACAAACCTATGCTTATTGTTGGTGTTATTTCTGCATTTGACGTAGCGTTAACGCTTTTGTTTAGGTATGGCAGTAAAGCTCTACCCAGAATTACAGCGGACGACGTTAAAGCGGTCGGCGGCAAGTGAACAGCTGTACAGTTGCCGCATGAAATCCGTCAGAGTAAACACACTTGCGGCGCACGACGGCTTCCGTCAGTTGTCGTTTTGATTTGTGCGGTATTCTTTGGCAACCCTACAACTTTTAGAAGACAAAGAATAGGCAATAGAGGTTGAGAGCGGAGACGTGAGTGCAGCGACATGTGTAGAAAAGATTTGATTGTTAGAAGTTAGAGGTTAATAAAAAGAGACTTTTGGAAGTTTCATGTAGTAGTCGGAGCTTACCTGGGGAGAAATTGGTGTTAGGAATCGTTTTGGAGGGGTCCATGCGGTGGTGATAGAAGCCAAGAAAAACGAGTTGAAACTCAAATACAGCAGACTATTTAGTAAAGCTTTAGGAGCACACCATGGGCCACCCATATTACTTGATCTGATGCCGGGATCAGAACCTATTTTTCGATCAGATCTTGCCCCATTGCGTTGATACCAGCTTGCGAAAAAGAAATCGAGAAGTGGATAGCACAGGAAATAATAGAGCTCCTTTTCGCGATGGGCTACGCCGATTGTCCCCGTACTCAAAACGAGTGGCGATATAAGAATCTGCGGCGATTACCGTAATACGGTCAATGCGGTGATAAAACCAAATGCTTATCCCTTACCACTTTTTTCGAGAGTATAAGCGGCCACCGCCGGAGAGGAATTGTTTACAAAACTAGACTTAGAGTAAGCCTACCAACAGTTAAATGTAGCCGAGATCTCGGCGGAGATACTCACATTGAACACCCACAAGGGTTTATACAAGGTGAAGCGGTTGCCGTTTGGAGTGTCAGCGGCTCCGGGACTTTTCCAGAAAATTATGGAGATGACATTATTATTGCACGTAAAAAAAGAATAGAGCACTCTGAAAACTTAGAGGCAGTACTGGATCGAATCGAAGAAGCAAATTAACAGTAAACAAGGACAAATGTCTTTTTGGGCAAACGCAAGTAGATTTTCCGGGATACCATATTAGCAAGCAGGGTGTCTCACCAAGAAGAGATAAAGTCAAAGCTATATTATTTAATTTCTATAACACACTATTACTTGACGAGAAGGCCCGGCGGAAGTGGACAAAAGGACACCACAAGGCTTTTGATAATTTGAAAGCAATGTTAAACTCGGATAGCCTGCTAATACGTTACTATCCAAAAAAGCTTTTAGTGTTGGCCTGTGATGCATCACCATATGGAGTAGGTGCAGTGTTAGCTTGCCGTAACAAAGAAGAGCGGCTCATTGCATTCGCATAAAGGACATTGTCGGCAATGCCATCATAAGGCACCTACTCTTATGGTACACCAGAAGTGGCTTTAATCGCATCTGATTTAGTGTTATTTATGCGGACGAATTGGGTTCTATCAGCAAGATAAGATGCAAGCCACTTAAGCGTGCTAGCATGAAGTCCAATTGAATCCAGCTTTCCTAGTAGTGTTTTAGGACTCACCTTATCAAAGGCTTTCGAAAAGTCGGTGAAAATGACATCGCATTGTTGACCTATTTCGAATTGTTTTAAAATAAAATTCGAAAATAAGGACAAGTTTGAAGAAGTGGACCTACCCTTAATGAATCCGTGCTGATAAGGCGATATGAGCCCAGAAATCTGGAAGACATCCTATCATGGACAGTAATGTGCTGCTTATTTGTACCCTGCGAGGCGGCGTGCAGGCACGCTTATCTAAGCTAGCTCGTCGGTTGGGGGGTGTCATTTCCGCCTGTCAAGGTAATCGCTACATAAACAAAAAGTTAATCGTGCCTTAGGGTATGCTGGAGTATTAGAGAAAGTCACCACACATAACAAAGAAAAAGGAAGATGTGAAAGAAAAAGCACTATAGAGGAATGGTCCAGTCCCGTCCTGTCAGGTGGAGTCATCCCACCCTTCTTCAACGTGACCTCCACGCGAAGCCTTGGGCGTTGTCGTGACTCCTCACGGAACGGTAGTGAAATTAATGTGGCTACATATGTACATACAAATGTATATGCACTAATATACATACATATATACCTATGTCAGCTCAAATTTTAGCAATTCAAAAATTGAATGAAGTGAAAATCGGCTGAGTGAACAAAAATAAAAAAACGGATTTTGTATGGCCAATAGTGGCAGAAAAATAAACAGTGTACGAAATTCAAATTAATCTATAAATCACGAGAATTGCCCTACAAAACAAATACACGGGATATGTCTAAGCTAAGCAACAATAAGAAAAAATAGGTATGTAAATATTTAAAAATTTACTAACTAAACGGAATCTAAAAGTAAGGAATGTGGCTGAAGCAAATGACAAAAAACCAAAAAAAAATCAAACGAACTCTAAAGGCTAATTTAAGAGAGGCTAGGTATACTGGTATAGGCAATTTAAACATAAGCAAAGAACTAAAACAATGCAAAAGAGTAGCCGTGTTAACGGCGCTGCTGCTGATCAGCGGCGAAGGCGTAGCGCCCACCACTTATGCTCCCGCGGCGTTGCTCCTGTTGGCGTTGCTCCTGTTGGCGTTGCTCCTCTTTGCGCTGTTACTGCTGATACTGTGGTTGTTGTTGTTGTTGTTGTTGTTGTTGTTGTACTAGCTGCTACTAAGCTCCGTTCGGGCGGTTCATCCATCAACGTTGTCGTCTATTTCAGCTAGGGGGAGGCCCAGGAAGTGTGCAACTTCCAGAGGGGCTGTCCATAGGGACAGGGGCGTTNAGGGCATGTGAAGAGGTGCCGGGAGTCATGTGGCGACCCTCCACATGCCCGGCATTGGTTGGGCACATCCTCGTTGATTCTGCTCAGGTAGCTGTTGATCCTGCTGCAATAGCCAGAGCGAAGTTGGGCTATTGTAGTGCGGGTCTCCCGAGGCAGACAAGGTTCTGTCCCGTCCACGTCCGGCGGTTGTGTGCCTAGAACGGCATTCACAGGGCGGGAGTCTACATAACTTGAGACTGATTCCCTGTGAACGTCTGTGGCTCCCTGCGAGGGACTGCTTGCAGAGCATTATGTTATGCTCCTTTACAGG